CAGCTGGACTGCAGGATGAGGGATGTACTTTTCCTTGCAATGGTGCATTTGTGCAGCACTGGAACAGTTCCCAGGGTTTTCCAACGATTACCAAGTTTGTTTTTAAATATAAAAGTATCAAACAAAAGTATGGGGTAGGGAAAAGTACATATCTGTGTTTTTGTTAAACTCTAAAGTTAGGAACACTAGTTAAATTAACCCAATTTGCCACTGCCCTTTGTGATACCATTTTGAGAGAAGGTCAGCAGTTGAACAGAAATCCAATCCATCAATTATTGGGAAGCAGAGGGAACACGTTGAACTTGCATGGCTCAAATAGATCAAAATCCTCAGAAAGAAGCTGCTGTCTGGTGTTTGTGCAAAAGGAAATGTAAGGAGCACACACAAAACCCTCCGTGTGTGAAACAAGGAGGAATTAGATGGGGAATGTTTGTCTTCCCCCTCAACATAATGGCTGCTGAACACAGGACTTCCCAGTGAAATCCAGGAACAACTCCCTGTTCCCCAACTCGCGTCCCTTTGCACAGGACCCTGTATCCACATGTACTGAGCTCATATAAAACATCATATAAAAATATAAAACATGGGGTGTCTCACCTTACTGGAATTAACCAGCTTTTCCAGGGCCACTGCCAAGCGACTCCCACGAGAATTTGAAAATAGAGGAGAGCAGGATTTTTACCTCATCTTCTTGGATCTTGCAGCAGCCTCAACTGAAACGTCACCTGAGGACTTTTCACTGCGCAGGTGGAAAAGAGATTTGGGGGGTGGGTTTTGTTTTCTGCTGCAGGGCAGGGAATGACAGCTTTGGGCTGTGTCACTACCTCGTTCAGGGAGTTCATCACCAAGGGCAGAGCAACTCCATGATCTTCGGAAGAGGAAAAGGAAAAAAAACCCACCTTTTTCTGTTTGTGTTCCAATACAGAGCACTCAGCTCTGGTTACGCAGCTGGTTTCTCCAGGCTGTTGTTATCAGTGTGTTCTCCTGTGGGTGATGAAGATGACAGGGGGGCTGGAGCATCTCCCTGATGAGGAAAGGCTCAGCCTGGAGAGGAGAAGCTGAGGACAGACCTGATCAGTGCCTGCAAGTATCTCAGGGTGGGTGCAGGAGGATGGAGCCAGACTCTGCTCAGCAGTGCCCAGGGACAGGGCGAGGGGCCACGGGCACAGGCTGGAACATGGGGAGTGACATGGAAATAGGAGGGAAAACTTCTTTATGGTGAGGGTGACAGAGCCCTGGGACAGGCTGCCCAGGGGGCTGTGGAGTCTCCTTCTCTGGAGACATTCAAACCCCTGGATGCAGCCCTGGGGAATGTGCTCCAGGGGGTCCTTCTGCAGTGGGAGAGCTGGACCAGATGATCTCTGGAGGTTCCTTCCAACTCCAGCGATTCTGTGTTCAGAAGTGCTCAAGGTTCAGTGATGGACAAAGCTCAGGGAGCAGCTCCCTGCCTGGTGCCTGTCATGCCTGTGGTGTCACCAGGCTGGCCATGGTGTCTGTCCCACCACCAGAGGGGGAGACAAAAACACCAAGACCCCCTGCAAGACACCAGCTACAGGCTGCAGCAACTCCTCCAGGCTTTTCAGAGCAGCAAAGCTAAAAAAAGTTACAGCCAGACTTGGGAGTCACGAGTCTGGCTTTTGCAACACTCCCTCTCAGGATCTGCAGCTACTGACAGTTCAAGAGTAGGTGACAGCAGGCTGGGAAGGGAATCACAATCAATCTAAATTTACCAAAAAGGATCTTTTTAAGGAAGAGATGTGATGGGTGGGAGAACAAAAGTGTGGCAGACAGGGAGGGATTTTTGCCACTCAGAGAAGGTTCTACTCCCCTCCACAGAGTCAAACCCTGGCCTACTGAGCTGAGTTTTCCTCTCCAAAATGGCAAACTCGTGGCTCTCACCTCCTTCTACTTCTCTACAACTCCCCAAGAGGAGGCTGGAGCCAGGGAGGGTTGGTCTGTTCTCCCAAGGAACAAATTACAAGAAGAAACAGCCTCAAGTTGTGCCAGGAGAGGCTGAAGTTGGATCTTGGGAACAATTTCTTCCCCAAAGGGTTGTCAGGCCCTGGCCCAGGCTGCCCAGGGCAGGGGGGGAGTCCCCATCCCTGGAGGGGTTTCCAAGCCCTGGAGATGGTGCTGAGGGACACGGGGCAGGGGTGGCCTGGGCAGGGATGGGTTAATGGGTAGAACTGGGAAGCTTAAGGATCTTTTCCAACCAAAACAATTCCGTAAGTCTGTGCTTTCCAAAGCTCACTCTGGTTGCAGAGATGCAGATCCCACATGCCCCGGCTCAGCATCCTGCTTTCTTTGAGCTAGAGACAAGTGGTGCCAAACCTCCCTGTGTCTCCAGTGCAGTCCCACTGCATGCCTGGGAAGTGCCCTTGCTTCTCTGCAATGTGGGATCACTTGAGCCGCCATAAGGCTTGGGTGGACAGAGAGTAACTTCCAGAAATTTTACACCAGGAAATGGGCAGCCCTGGGGACTCTCACCAACAGCCTGAAAACCCCTATGAGAACACTTAACAGCTTAGAATCATTGCTTTATTATTTCTTATTTTCATGTACATAAAGGCAAATAACATCATGTCTTAGGAACCACTGTCATGAGTCACCCAATTAAGCAGTCAGCAACAGAACTACCAAAGACACAAACAGAGCCTGTTACACACACTTATAAATATGACCCTGTCCCTGATCATCACAAGCTCTTCTTGATGGGAATGTTTAGTGAAGCCTGTAGCCAAGCATAGATGCTGCTCTAATGAACATTAGCTAAAACAGAAGGAAAAAAAGCAAACTTAAAAAGTATAAACTGACACCTCACATGAAGTCCCAAGTGGATTTGGGCTCAACTGCAAATTACATTGATCAGAGGAATACAGGCATTTTATCCCCATGAGTGTTTTAGGGTATCTGGGAAGGAAGGTAAGTTTGCTACCACCTAAACAGTGAGATTTGGTGCCAAGAAAACCTTGCATCACTGCCCATGCAGTCAGCACTGCACTTCTGTGTGCCAAGGAGAAACACAGACAAGTACTCCCCATTGTAAATACCACTGAAGTGGAAGTGAAGAAAACAACAGAAAAATACAGGTTTTCCTTTCAAATGAAGAGTATTTCTAGGGTGGAGCCCATGTCAACAATAACCTACTTCTGTTCAGGTAAAACTAAAGACAAAGTTACAACTGATGCAACAACAACTAAAAAGAATAAAGGTCAAGACACACACAAATGAAGAACCCCAGACCACCTATGTTCCTGGAAGATGGACTAAGTTGCACGAAGATTTGTCCCTTGAGATAGTCCACACTAGGCACTTGCTGACAATTCCTCATTTAATTCCAGAGTTCTAGCATCCCCATTAGCTTTGGCATTTTGTATAAGCACCTGCAGAGAAAAACAAATAATGAAAAAAACCCTGAGAATTAAAGAATTTTAATGTTGGTATTTTACTGGCAATGGTGCATTTTAATCTTCTGCTATTAAGTAGCCCATAAGCCCAGATAGGAAATATCAATTACATATCATCAGCTTCCTTAAAACATCAGGCACTTAAAAACCCCACCCTGCAGTGACCTGTAGTCACTTGTAGTGCACTCCAGCAGCAGCATCTGTCACTGGCAAGTCAGTCACCTGCTAGGGAGGAAAAAAGCAAGCTAGATCAGACCCACCTCCCTGCCTCCTGCTTGTACATCTGCATAAATCTGTATTTACCAAAAAGGAACATTCCCTGCAGCTACCTAAACAAAGCTACCAATGTATCTTCTTGCCTCCCCCATTTACATTTACCCTTCGTTTACTCTCCACATCTCCCAGTTGCAGCTTTTCTAGTTAGAAAAGCACCTGTTCACAGGTGTTCAAAGGCTTCTGGAAATTCTCTTGTATTCCAATATTCACATTATGAATATTAAAAACGAGAAGTAGAATCAAGAAAATCTGCAGCCATTATATTGTACTCATTGGTAGGGAGCACAGGT